GCTTAAATTTAAGCAAGTAAATTTAATTTTTTTCACTTTTAATCGTACAGCAACATTTTAATGTAAAAGATTATTTGATTTTTGGGAATTTTTATGTTTATTTGTGGCATGGTATCAAATTAATATAAATATTGACCAGTTACTGCATAGTAGAAGTTAAATAAAAAATAGGAACAATCTCAAAACTGACAGTATTATCATAGATAAAAAATACTCCCCCAAGTAGATTTCTCATCCTAATGGAACAGCTGAAGACAGTTTTATTGTTAGTTCCGTACGGTTTACGTAGAGGTCGTGTTTTGTTTACAATTTGTTTCCCGTTATTACAGTCATTTAAAACCTCGTTAAACCAAATAATACGATCTAATCATAAACAATAACTTGTCTCCTAGTTATATAACCAAACAGTGAAGCACAAATCAAGAAACTAACCCTAAAATAATGGAAACAAAATGTTGACGACACTAGCGCCCAGTGTCACCGTACATGAACTAGACACGAAAAACGTGCGTCAAAATTTACAATGGGATGACAAGTCTACTTGTGTTGGTTAGTCTATGGTATTATTCTGCCATATTATAAAATTCTATTAAAATAGTCATTATTATTTTGTTATTAATTCATCATAATAATTAAAAAAATGGTTATTGATAACAAATAATAAGTACTTATTATTTATTAACATTTATTTACGCTTAAAACTTGGCCTATTAAACTGCTATAATATTTTTAGTATGGAAATCATGAGGAAAATCATTCATCAATGACCTATTAAGCTGCTTAACTTATTACTGTAAATAGTGGAAATGGATATGGTAATGGATTTTTGGGACCCAAGTTCTATTAAATAATTCCACGTAATCGTGAAGTTGATCATGTATCTTAAAACTGGTTGGATTTTTTTTTTAATCTGTGACCATCACATTTTAATAAGGCAATGTTTTTTCCCAGCTGACCCTGAAGATGGACAGCTGGTCCGCCAACAACTCTCAAAGTTGACTCAACATTTAAGACCTTACTCACTGAGTGGAGAAGAGACATTTGAAGTGATTTCTTCAGGTATATTTTTCATAGAAGAAGTCAACAGTATGTGCCATTATCAATATAAAAAAGAAACCACTCAAGCTCTTAGTGAGTTTTCAAATGAGACTAAACCAAGGAAACTGAAAAAACCAAACTCTTTTAGAAAACTAGAAATGTATATGTTAGATGAGAAATTTGATCAACAACACTACTGTTACAACTTTGCCCTGACTACCAAAAGCCACACAATTGAGCTGCTGTCACTAGAGTGTAAGTCAATTGATCGTAAACCAGGAGTCCCTGTAGATATGACATATGAAGTGAGCTGTTCAACAACAATAACTGAGTGGAACAACTTGTATGTGCATGAACCTGTGATACACTTCAGTAAGTATGTCATGTTTGGAAGGAAGTTTATGATTCCTCTAGCTGTTGATGGGAGAAACATAACCTTGAAGCCACACACCAAGTACTCTGTCAAGATGATGGTGAAAGGATATCACAATCAATTTCGCTGTAGATTAGTAGAGCCCAACATCGAAACTAAACACTTAATTCTAAGTATAGGCAAACAAGGTGATTGGTACGAACTTCCTTCAGACAGGTTATGGTACAGAACCACATCAGAGGAATAATGTCACTCTAGAAAAAAATACTATGGAGTTGTTGTGGTTTGAATTCCACTTAAGTGTGTGTGTGCCAAAAATGTAATTTTATTCTATTTGAATTTCACCCTGAGCGAATATTCTTTTTGTAAAATTATTCTAATCCAAATTTAAATTTTTAATACATGCAAATTTGGTTAAAATGTTAAAATTAAGATATGGGCATACAGTCTTGAGTGGCAAAGGACAATAAAGCAATTTTCAACAGATTTTAAGTTTTATCTACGTTGTTGGAGTGCTGTGGTAGAAGAGGAATGTAAAGAATCCTTTATTTAGGTGAATTAAAATCACTTATCTTTATTCGTTGTGCATTATATACCAATTCAAAGACACCTTTTGAAATAAAAAAGATTGAAAACTGCAACTGAAAATGGATTCATTTAACCTGTTGAACCATTCAATTGTTAAACAAATCCTACTTAATATTATAAATGAGAAAGTTTGGATGTATGGATGTATGTATGTTAGTGACAAGTAAACACGACAAGTAAAATGCTGGTCGGATTGGGCGGAAATTTGTTATGATGATAGCTCACATTCCCGATTAACATATAGATGCATTCTTATCTCAAAAGTCCTTTCGGGCTCCGCCCCTGTGGCTCTGGAGTTTCCCATGTTAACCTTATATTCAAAAGGAATAAAAGCATTTTGTTAGCTGTTTCAACTATCCAAGTTGGTTCTATGACATTGAATAGCATTAAAAAGTTACAAGGTTTACCAACAGGGTGCAGTACTATTATTTTTTTTTACATATATGACAACATCTATTATAGCCTATAAAGGCCATAAAGGTTAAATTTTGTTAATTAAAGGCTTATGCGTAACTATTTTATCAACTGATGTAAAGATCAAAATGTTTCTATTTCGTGTTCTCTTCCCGTTGCAAAGCACGGGTACAACAAACAGCTAGTTAAAATATATCTGTAATTATTGCGCATTACTAAAATAATAATAGGTAATCTCTGTTGGATTTTTAACTAATATTATTACAGTAGCCTAATAATATCATCTGCTTGGATTTTAAATTTTGCCTGAAAATTATTTTATTTGATTAAATTACTCTATATATCAATAAAATCTAATTATTGAAAGTACAAGTTTGTGTTAGTACATTTGAATAACATCAAGTAGGTGAACAATATTTGTTAAAATGTGTAACCTCATGCAGTACAATGTAGTAATAATATTAAATATTAATTTATTTCTAGATTGTAACCAAATTTAAGCTGAACCGACTTCCCTTATAAGATGCAGCAGCAAATAAAAAAATTTCTCACAGTCACCTGACAAAAGTTGGCTTCCTTGCACTGATTATAGCACGCCAAGTAGCCAATTGATGCATTATTTACTTAATTTTGCCGCACTCATTTTTTGCCCCACTCAAGTATTTTAACCAAACAACAACAAACAGTGTGATTTTATTAGGCATATAATACGTGTACGCTAGAAAATATGTTGGCAACACTTAAACATACTACAACTACGATCAGCTTCTGCAGTGTTTCTCATTTCGTTCAGTGCTTTGATTTAACCTAACTTAAATACATGTTGTATAGTGTTTGAAAGACCAATTATTTTTATGATTTATAAGTTCTATGAAAGCAGCCATTTCTGTATTTTCTATTTTAGGTGTTGACAATTTTGAAATGAGTAAATTATAATGTAGGTAGATAAATAGTAAGTACCTAAATATTTATTTGCATTTAGATACATAATATTTGCAAACAAATTTATAAATTAGTTTATAAAAATTGAATACCGTAGTAATAATGTTTTGGTAACTTGTTCATAAAGATTTCTGAACAGTCAAATGTAACTCCAAATGGTGTAACAGCGAGACCTTTCTCTAATTTAGAACCTTCAGAGGTGTTATAAACTGTTTTTTAGCACCTTAACACCAAAACTTTACTGGAGGTCTGAACCCCCCCCCCCCCCTATCCTGGGGGATATTTCACACCCTCCTGGTCTTGCCCCCCCCCCCCAAAACCAAATCCTAGCTACGCCACTGTGATGGTATAGATATAGTATATAAATAAAAATCCCCACTGCAGCAAACTTGAAGACTAAGTGAATTTTATTTTAATTTGTCTGATTGGATTCCTACTCAAATATTTCTATAAGTTACGCCATTTAGTCTTAAACCTTACCTGTAAACCAAGTGGTTGTGATTTCATTTCGTAAAACTATTTTGTATTTTTAGCTACAGTACATTATTTACAAATTTACTTGCAAATCAAGGGCGGTGTGATTTTTGTTAGTATAATTATGTTGTAGTGTCTTTTAATGACCTCGTTTTATCTTCAACTTCTCCACACAGCATAGGCTTAGACCTAATAAGTTGACTATTCATTGTTGTTAAAAAGAACAGAACGATTTTAAAATTAAATATAAACGGCATTAATTTAATCACTCAATATAGAACTGACAATTCGTATTACATGCAATAGACTAATATGCTCTTTAGTATTCATCAGATTTTTATCTTTTGTACTGTATTTATAATGTGGTAGATTTGTTGACTAACATATGTCAAGGCTCTTGTTTACTTTTTAGTGTTGACTCGCAAATAATGTCATGACGACCAATTAACCCATAAGGCCCATGTTTAATTTCTAAAAGTTTGCATTCATGGAGGGAAAAGTCTTATGGTCCGATTTGTACCATTTCAGATTTATACCTTCGCATGGTTGGTTACTATGACCATAGATAAAACATATGACTGTGTTAAATTTCGTGCAGATCGCTTCAGCCGTTCAGGAGGAGTATTTGTAAAACAAAAGCAGGAGTGTAGTCTAAGAGCTTCGCTCGCTCCGCTCATTTATTTATTTTTTGGGAATTTTTTTGTTTATTTGTGGCATGATATCAAATATAAAAACTGACCAGTTACTGTATAGTAGAACTTTAATAAAAAAATAGGAACAATTTTGAAACTGACAGTATTATCATACCATATTATAAAATCCTTGTAAAGTGTTATTAATTTATGATAATAATAAAAATAACTATTATTTACAACAAATAATAATTACTTATTATTTATTAACATTTATTTACGCTTAAAACTTGGCTTATTAAACTGTTATAATATTTTTAGTATGGAAATCATGAGGAAAATCTTTCATCAATGACATATTAAGCGGCTTAACTTATTACTGTAAATAGTGGAAATGGATATGGTAATGGATTTTTGGGACTCGAGTTCTATTAAATAACTCCACGTAATTGTAAAGTTGATCATGTATCGAGGAACTGGTTGGATTTTTTTTAGAATCTGTGACCATCACATTTTAATAAGGCAATGTTTTTTCCCAGCTGACTCTGAAGATGAACAGCTGGTCCGCCAACAACTCTCAGGGTTGACTCAACAGTTAAGACCTTACTCACTGAGTGGAGAAGAGACATTAGAAGTGATTGCTTCAGGTGTTTTTGTGATGGAAGAAATCAAAAGTATGTGTCGTTATCAATTTAAAAAAGAAACCATTCAAGCTCTTAGCGAGTTTTCAAATGAGACTAAACCAAGGAAACTGAAAAAAACAAAGTCTGTTCTTCATCAACTAGAAATGACTATGTTGGACGACACATATGGTGAAAATCTTAACTGTTACTACTTTACTCTGATAACCCAAACACACGCAATTGAGCTGTTGCCACTAGAGTGTCAGTCACCTGATCGTAAACCAGGAGTCCCTGTAGATATGACATATGAAGTGAGCTGTTCAGCAACAATAACTGAGTGGACCAACTTGTATGTGCATGAACCTGTGATAAACTTCAGTAAGTATGTCGAGTATGGGGTGAAGTTTGAGATTCCTCTAGCTGTTGATGGGAGAAACATTACCTTGAAGCCAGACACTACGTACTCTGTCATGATGATGGTGAAAGGATATCACAAAAAATGGTCCAGTATGGAAGAGCCCAACACCCAAACTAAACACTTAATTCTAAGTATAGGCAAACAAGGTGATTGGTACGAGTTTCCTTCAGACAAGTTAATGTACAGAGCAATATCAGAGGATTAATGTAACCCTAGAAAATAACACTAAGGATTTGTTGGGTTTTTAATTCCTCTAAAGTGTGTGTGCCGAAAATGCATATACTTTTTATAATTTTATTCTATATTAATTTAACCCTGAGCGAATATTCTTTTTGTAAAATTCTTCTAATCCAAATTTAAATTTTAAATACATGCAAATTTGGTTAAAACGTGAAAGTAAGTTTGGATATGAGCATACAGTCTGAGTGGTAAAGGACAGAAAATGCAATTTTCAAAAGATTTTAAGTTTTATCTATGTTGTTGGAGTAACTGCTGTGGTAGGAGTGGAACGTTAAGAATCCTGTTTTTATGTAAATTAAAATTACTTCTAGTTATTTGTTGTGCATTATGTAACAATACAACAGCACATTTTAAAATAAAAAAGATTGAAAATGAAAACTTCAACTGAGAATGGATTTATTCAACCTGTTACAGCATCCAAGAATTGTTAACAAAATTAAAAATTTGTTATCTTTGTACATTTTACCAGATTTTAAACTAATATTAGTAATAATAATATCTGTTGGATTTCAATTTTGTCTGACAATTATTTTAATTGATTAAATCACTCAATAATTCAATAAAAATCTTATTATTGGAAGTACAAGTTTGTGTTTGTACATTTGAATAACATAAAGTAGGTGTACAATATTTGTTAAAATGTGTAACCTGATACAGTACAATGTAGTAATAACATTAAACATGAATTTATTTCTAGATTTTAAAACAAATTTAAGCTTAACCGATTTCCCTCATTAGATAGAGCAGCAAATAAAAAAAAACATTGAAGCAGTTAAAACTGGTCTGATTATCAAATAATATTTCAGCTTTTGCTAAAAACTACTTTCTTTTATTTCCTTTTTAATGGATTTCAACAGATGATTGTCGTTGAGAAGAAAAGGACTTTGTGGACAGTAAGCTACTAAGGAAGTAGCTTACTGAGCATTAAATTTATATCAACACAAAATATTCACAATTCACTGATAATTACTTTTAAAAATGTCCAGAGGATTCCTACGCTCTAACAGAAATTTCCTTTGCTTCCGTTGTATTTATAGTGGATTAACAAAGGATTGGCTGGTTCAAATACTTGATACTTAAGGAATTTGGCTCAATTTAGTTCAGCATGCTGTTTTATATCTACAGGAAGATACAGATTTATTTACTTAAGGACCTAAATAAAATATACTTTTTGATTGACCCATAGCAGCGGGTTGGGTTCTGTTGGCAGTCTAGACCTATACCTTGAACCCGCAGGGGGTAAAAAATGAAAAAAAATTTATCCCATAACACCCCCGTTCCCATGGCCCATGCTGGTTCGAGAACTCATTGAAGTTTATCCCGCTTTACACCTTTAAATCAAATTTTATCAAAATCGGAAAAAATTACCCAATGAAATAGCTACCGGTACTTCCCTATAGGGAAATTCGCTAAAAGCAGGAGTGTAGTATAAGAGTTTCACTTAATTGATCAACATTAAATTTATGAATATAAGTTTATTAAAATATTGAAAATCAAACATACAAAATTGTAAGCCAAAACAATATGAATTTAAAATCTATATAATCTATTATATTATTAAAGTGATACAATAAAATTGTATGTAAACAGTTAAGGCCATTTACCAAATAAAAATATAGGCATATATGGCACATCAAAATGAAGCCATAGACTAACCAACACAAGGGAGTATGATGAAGCTTAAGAGTGTGTGGATTTGCCGAAAAGTATTGATATGAACGAATTTCCTAAGAGCTCTGTCCCACAGGCTGATTTCCAAAGGGCCACACCTGTCATGTTTCCAATGTTTAAATGATTTAATTTAACTAGTGTAGTGTACATGTTGCTCGAATTCGAGCAGTTGTAAAGTATTACAGGATTTGCAAACCAATAACTATTATACTTAGCTATCAACATTTCAACAATAACATACCTACCTTCCCTGTAGCAGCAAACCTAAGTACTCATATTAAAATTAACTAAATGTTATTTAAATAGGAAAAAATTACCATTTTCAGGGAATACCTTTGTATATAAATTAAGCCAGGTAAATAGAAAGTCGCTTAGTCTGAAGGTTTGCTGCGGATACACAATTTTAATACAGTAACTGTTACTTAGGATTCACTGTTTTTATCTTTAGGTCTTTCAGTTTGACTTTTTGTAGTTGTGTTTAAAATGTAGTGATATTTACCATTTTGATCCATTTCATAATATGCTTTAAACAAAGCTTGTCTTCAAGTTTTCATACTGTTGGTTCTAGGTAGGATTATATATCTTACATTTTATTATTATTATTATATATCATTTATATACTGTTACAGCAAAGATTGAAGAATCTGAATTATTACTTATATCCATGAATTTATCTAACAATTATTTCCTGTAAAATATTATTACAGCAGTTCAAAAATATTAAAACAAACTTGATCAACAAATTATGTAACTGAAAGAATTCCATACTAATGACATTAACATATAGTTTGACAGTTCCATTTACTGAATGTTAAATGTTTACATTCGGGCATTGACAAAAATGATTCGGGCGAGTGACATATTTGATTAATGTTTATGATCCCTACCGTTCCTGTTCTAATAATTATGCAGTATTTAATATGGTTGAACCAGCTGTGTAGAATTGTGAAATCAAAATTAATTTGACAGTTAGTTCTGCTTGTTTATATTTTTAAATTTTGGGGGTTCGTTCTTTGTTACCATGGATACCATCAATAAATATTTCACTTTTAATTTCTGACAACAGCTGGAGTTCCATAACGAATTTTGTTTCCCATGTTAATCTTATGGATAAATACAAAACTTTAAAGGGCCCCAGGGCCTCACTCTCTAATTATTTCTCTAAAAAGAAAGTTGCCTGCACAACTTCACGTTACGCTCTTTCCAATGACACCAAAAACATGCCAATCGGTTCAGTAGTTTCGGAGGAGTAATTGTCACAAAAAACCTGCTTGCGTATTAAATAAGTACAAGAGGTTCTACCCACGAACTCATGGGTAAATAGAAGTCTAAATTAATTTAGTCAACTTTGACTTTCCCCATTTCATTTAAAGGGCCCAAGTTCGAGAAATTGTCATCTGAAAGTATGTTAAAGGCAGTGGGTACGGTCGCCGAAAAAAGTGGAAAGTCGCCGAGGTGGGTACGGTTGTACCTGAACTCGTTGCTCTCTTTCACGACGTCTTAAATACTTTACTTAAATACTTTTCAATGAATTGGCGACCTGGATCGGTGATAACCTCTTGGAACGAACAACATACATGGTTTGTTAATCTCATATTCATTGTGTTTTGAACACCTTTAATCACTTACTTGTAACAAACAGCTAGAAATAGCTTCACTGTCCATTCACCGCACCTCTTTTAAGAACATAAAAGTAAATAAAAAAATAAGTAAACAAAAATGTAAACAAACAAACTATACAGGGTGTTTTTTTAAAAACTTGCATCTTTATTTATGTAAAAACCGCAATAGATAGAAATATGCAGTTTGCGGGAATCATCTATTGAAGTAGGGGGCCCAATTGTTTTGAATTCAACGTTACATTCACATTCCCCCCTTTCACCCCCTTTCACCCCCTGCCCCCAACTTATTTTTTTCAAATAGCAAGGTACCCCTTGTGACATATAAAATGAAAGAGCATGAAAAAAGAAAATGTTTGATGAAAAAAAATTAAAAATCGGTTCATAAATTTGCGAGATATTTCCCCCCCCCCCTTCCCCGGAACTTGATTATTTTTTTAATAGCAAAGTACCCCTTGTGACATATCAAATGAAAGAGCATGAAAAAAGAAAATTTTTGGTGGAAAAAAATTTAAAATCGGCTCATGAATTTGTGAGATAATCCCCCCCTTTTTCCCCTACCCATAACTTGTTTTTTAATAGCAAGGTACCCGCCCTTGTGACATATCAAATGAAAAATAAATTTCACCAAAACTTTTCTTTTTTCATGCTCTTTCATTTGATATGTCACAAGGGGTACTTTGCTACTAAAAAAAATCAAGTTCCGGGGAAGGGGGGGGGGAAATATCTCGCAAATTTATGAACCGATTTTAAATTTTTTTTTCATCAAACATTTTCTTCTTTTATGCTCTTTCATTTGATATGTCACAAGCGGTACCTTGCTATTTAAAAAAAATAAGTTGGGGGCAGGGGGAGAAAGGGGGGGAATGTGAATGTAACGTTGAATTCAAAACAATTGGGCCCCCTACGTCAATAGATGATTCCCGCAAACTGCATATTTCTATCTATTGCGGTTTTTACATAAATAAAGATGCAAGTTTTTAAAAAAACACCCTGTATTGTCAATTGCATTGGCCAGCTGTTGTTCACTAAATTAATCGAATAATGTTAACTTCCAAAACATGCAAGGCGTAGCCCTTTGGAAATCAGCCTGAGGGGAAGAGCCCTTAGGGAATTCGTCCATATCAATACTTTTCGGCAAATCTACACACTCTAAGCTTCATTTTGATATGCCATATGCCTATATTTTTATATGGTAAATGGCCTTAAGCGTTTACATAAAATTTTATTGTATCACTTTAATTATATAATAGATAGATTTAGTTAATGAAACAGCTGGTCAGTACAATGAACTAGTGTTTGTTTATTTACTCGAAAAATATGTTTGGGACGCTTTATGTAGATGAGGAGGATTATGTTTGGTTTTTAAGTGAGGTTGTATACGTTTTGTAAAGTATTGCCATGTTTTATCTATGGTATTGCATGGTATTGCCTAGACTTCTCGTCCCATTGTAAATTTTGAAGCTCGTTTTTCATGTCTAGTTCATGTACGCCACACTGAGCGCTAGTGTCGACGAAATTTTGTTCCTATTATTTTAGGGTTAATTTCTTGATTTGTGCTTTACTGTTTGGTTAAATAACTAGGGAACGATTTGTTGTTTATGATTAGATCGTATTATTTGGTTAAACAAGGTTTCCCAGACAGCACACTTTCTCCTCAGGACATCCCACGGATATTGCGACAGGATATGCAAGATATCCCATAGTAGTCCTATGGTCAACCTGGGATATCCCAGGATATCCGCAGGAATGCGTAATGTCCCCGCCCGGGGATGTCCTACGGATAAGCTCACAGCATATCCGTGGGACATCCGAGGTCATCCCAGGGTAGTCCTCAGGACATTCTCAGGACATATGGGACTACTATGGGATGTCCCTGGGATAAAGTGTGGTCTGGGCCTGAACATAAAAAACACAAAATAATATAGATTTAGTATGAAATGGTTAATTATAAGTTGAGTAAATTGATTAAATATAGTTAATAAACACAAATTTTGAAGAAAAAAAACGAGAAAAAAGTTTTTGACCCAGACGGGTCTCGAACCTGGTACCTCTGCCTTATGAGTCTCTT